GCTGGTCTCGATCGTGCTCGTCACACTAGTGGACATGCTCTCGGTCGTACTACTCGCCGACGTGCTGGGCGTAGTGGCGCTGCTGGTCTCAGTCGTGCTCATCACACTCGTGGTGCTGCTCTCGGTCGTACTGCTCGCCGACGTGCTGGGCGTAGTGGTGCTGCTGGTAGGGGTAGTGCTCGTCACAGTCGTGGTGCAGCTCTCGGTCGTACTGCTCGCTGTTGCGCTGGGCGTGGTTGTGCTGCTGGTACCGGTCGTGCTCTCCACACTCGTGGTGCTGCTCTCGGTCGTACTGCTCGCCGACGTGCTGGGCGTAGTGGTATTGCTGGTGCCGGTTGTGCTCGTCCCACTCGTGGTACCGCTTTCGGTCGTACTGTTGGCCGACTTGCTGTGCGTGGTAGTGTTGCTGGTCTCGGTCGTGCTCGTCCCACTCGCGGCGCTTCTTTCGGTTGCACTGCTCGCCGACGTGCTGGGCGTAGTGGTGCTGCTGGTTTCGGTCGTGCTCGTCACAGTCGTGGTGCTGCTGTTGGTCGTACTGCTCGCCGCCGCGCTGGGTGTGGCAGTGCTGCTGGTACCGGTCGCGCTCGTCACACTCGTGGTGCTGCTGTCGGTCGTACTGCTCGCCGACGTGCTGGGCGTAGTGGTGCTGTTGGTGCCGGTCGTGCTCGTCCCAATCGTGGTGCAGCTCTCGGTCGTACTGCTCGCCGACGCGCTGGGTGTAGTGGTGCTGCGGGTGGCGGTCGTGCTCGTCACCCTTGTGGTGCTGCTCTCGCTCGTACCGCTTGCCGACGTGCTGGGCGTAGTGATGTTGCTGGTCTCAGTCGTGCTGATCATACTCGGGGCCTTGCTCTCGGTCGTACTGCTCGCCAACGTGCAGGGCGCAGTGGTGCTGCTGGTCTCGGTCGTGCTCGCCCCACTCGTGGTGCTGCTGCTTTCGTTTATACAACTCGCCGACGTGCTTGACGTAGTGGTGCTGCTGGTCTCGGTCGTGCTCGTCACACTCGTGGTGCTGCTCTCGTTCGTACTGCTCGCCGACGCGCTGGGCGTGGTGGTGCTGCTGGTATCGGTTGTGTTCGCTGCACTCGTGGTGCTGCTTTCAGTCGTACTGCTCGCCGACGTGCTGTGCGAAGTGGTGTTGCTGGTCTCGGTCGTGCTCGTCACCCTCGTGGTGCTGCTTTCGGTTGTACTGCTTGCCGACGTGCTGTGCGTAGTGGCGCTGCTGGTACCGGTCGTGCTCGTCACCCTCGTGGTGCTGTCCTCGGTTGTACTGCTCGCCGGAGCGCTGGGCGTAGTGTTGCTGCTGGTCTCGGTCGTGCTCGTCACCCTCGTGGTGCTGCTCTCGGTCGTACTGCTCGCCGACGTGCTGGGCGTAGTGGTGCTGCGAGTCTCGGTCGTGCTCGTCACAGTCGTGGTGCTGCTTTGGGTCGTACTGCCCTCCGACGTGCTGGGCGTGGTGGCGCTGCTGGTCTCGGTCGTGCTCGTCACACTCGTGGTGCTGCTCTCGTTCATGCTGCTCGCCAACGCGCTGGGCTTAGCGTTGCTTCTGGTACCTACCGTGCTGATTATACTCGTGACGCTGCTTTCGGTCGTACTGCTCGCCGACGTGCTGGGCGTAGTGGTGCTGCTGCTCTCGGTCGTGGTCGCCACCCTCGTGGTGCTGCTCTCGGTCGTACTGCTTGCCGACGTGCTGGGCGGAGTGATGTTGCTGGTAGCGATCACACTCGTCATACTCGTGGTGCTGCTCTCGGTCGTAGTGCTCTCCGACGTGCTGGGCATAGTGTTGCCGCTGTTACTGGTTATACTCGTCATACTCGTGGTGCTGCTCTCGGTCGTACGGCTATCCGTCGTGCTAGGCGTGGTGGTGCTGCTGGTCTCCGTCGTACTCGTCATAATCGTGGGGCTGCTCTCGCTTGTATTACTCTCCGATGTGCTGGGCGCAGAGGTGCTGCTGGTGGCGTTCGTACTCGTGTTTCTCGTGGTGCTGCTCTCGATCGTAGTGTTCGCCGACGTGATGGGCGTAAGGGTGCTGCTGGTACTGGCCGTATCCGCCTTACTCGTGGTGCTACTTTCAGTCGTAGTACTCTCCAACGTGCTTGGCGATATGATGTTGCTGGTTCCGGTCGTACTCGTCATACTCGTGGTGCTGCTCTCGGTCGTACTGCTTTCCGACGTGCTTCGCGTAGTGGTGCCGCTGGTACAGGTCTTACTCGTCACAGTTGTGGTGCTGCTCTCGTTCGTGCTGCTCGCCGAAGCGCTGGGCGTAGTGGTGCCGCTGGTACTGGTCGTACTCGTCATACTTGTGGTGCTGCTCTCAGTCGTATTGCTCGCCGACGTGCTGGGCGTAGTGGTGACGCTGGTACCGGTCGTACTCGTCATACTCGTGGTGCTGCTCTCGGTTGTACTGCTCGTCGACGTGCTGGGCGTAGTGGTGTCACTGGTACTGGTCGCACTCGTCATACTCGAGTTGCTGCTCTCGCTCGTGCTGCCCTCCGACGTGCCGGACGTGGTGGTGCCGCTGGTACTGGTCGCACTTGTCATACTCGTTGTGCTACTCTCTCGGTCGGACTGCTCACCGACGTGCTTCGCGTAGTGGTGCCGCTGGTACAGGTCGTAATCGTCATACTTGTAGTGCTGCTCTCGATCGTGCTGCTCGCCGACGTGCTGGGCGTAGTGGTGCCGCTGGTACTGGTCGCACTTGTCATACTCGTGGTGCTGCTCTCGGACGGACTGGCTACCGACGTGCTAGGCGTAGTGGTGCCGCTGGTACAGGTCTTACTCGTCATACTTGTGGTGCTGCTCTCGGTTGTACTGCTCGCCGACGTGCTGGGCATAGTGGTGCCGCTGGTACCAGTCGCACTCGTCATACTCATGGTGCTGCTCTCGGTCGTAGTGCTCACCGACGCGCTGGGCGAAATGTGGCCGCTGGTACTGGTCAAACTCGTCATACTCGTGGTGCTGCTCTCTATCGTACTGCCCTCCGACGTGCTGGGCGTAGTGGTACCGTTGATACTGGTCTTACTCGTCATACTCGTGGTGCTGCTCTCGGCCGTAGTGCTCTCCGACGTGCTGTGCATAGTGTTGCCGCTGTTACTGGTTGTACTCGTCATACTCGTGGTGCTGCTCTCGGTCGTACTGCCCTCCGACGTGCTGGGCATAGTGGAGCCGCTGGTACAGGTCGCACTCGTCATACTCGCGGTGCTGCTCTCAGGGGTACTGCCCTCCGACGTGCTGGGCGTAGTGGTGCCGCTGGTGCCTGTCGCACTCGCCGTACTCTTGGTGCTGCTCTCGGTCGTCCTATTTTCCGACGTGCTGTTCGCAGTGGTGTCGCTGGTACCGGTCGCAGTCGTCATACTCGTGGTGCTGCTCTCGGTCGTTCTGCTCGCCGACGTGCTGGGCGTAGTGGTCTCGCTGGCACTGGTCGCTCTCGTCATACTCGTGTTGCTGCTCTCGCTCGTACTCGTACTGCTCGTCGACGTGCTGGGCGTAGTGGTGCCGCTGGTACAGGTCTTACTCGTCATACTTGTGGTGCTGCTCTCAGTCGTACTGCTCGCCGACGTGCTGGGCGTAGTGGTGACGCTTGTACCGGTTGTACTCGTCATACTCGTGGTGCTGCTCTCGGTAGTACTGCTACCCGACGCGCTGGGCGTAGTGGTGCCGCTGGTACTGGTCGCACTCGTCATACTCGTGGTGCTGCTCTCGGTTCTACTGCTCGCCGACTTGCTGTTCATAGTGATGCCGCTGGTACAGGTCGCACTTGTCATACTCTTGGTGCTGCTCTCGGTTGTAGTGCTCACCGACGGGCTGGGCGTAGTGGTGCCACTGGTACAGGTCGCACTCGTCATACTCGCGTTGCTGCTATCGCTCGTGCTGCTCACCGTCGTGCCGGACGTTGTGGTGCCGCTGGTACAGGTCGCACTCGTCATACTCGTGGTGCTGCTCTCGGTTGTAGTGCTCGCCGACGCGCTGGGCGTAGTGGTGCCGCTGGTACCAGTCGTACTCGTCATACTCGTGGTGCTGCTCTCTATCGTACTGCTCGTCGACGTGCTGGGCGTAGTGGTGCCGCTGGAACAGGTCTTACTCGTCATACTTGCGGTGCTGCTCTCAGTCGTACTGCTCGCCGACGTGCTGGGCGTAGTGGTGACGCTGGTACCGGTTGTACTCGTCATACTCGTGGCGCTGCTCTCGGTCGTACTGCTACCCGACACGCTGGGCGTAGTGGTGCCGCTGGTACCCGTCGCACTCGTCATACTCGTGGTGCTGCTCTCGGTTCTACTGCTCGCCGACTTGCTGTTCATAGTGCTTCCGCTGGTACAGGTCGCACTTGTCATACTCGTGGTGCTGCTCTCGGTTGTGGTGCTCACCGACGCGCTGGGCGTAGTGGTGCCGCTGGTACAGGTCGCACTCGTCATACTCGCGTTGCTGCTATCGCTCGTACTGCTCACCGTCGTGCCGGACGTAGTGGTGCCGCTGGTACAGGTCACACTCGTCATACTCGTGGTGCTGCTCTCGGTTGTAGTGCTCGCCGACGCGCTGGGCGTAGTGTTGCCGCTGGTACCGGTCGTACTCGTCATACTCGTGGTGCTGCTCTCTATCGTACTGCTAGCCCACGTGCTAGGCATAGTGGTGCCGTTGGTACCGGTCGTACTCGTCACAATCGTGGTGCTGCTCTCGGTTGTATTGCTCGCCGACGTGTTGGGCGTAGTGGTGCCGCTGGTACTGGTCGTATTTGTCATACTCGTGGCGCTGATCTCGATCGAATTGCTCACCGACGTGCTGAGCGTAGCTGTGCTCCTGGTACCGGTCGTACTCATAACATAAGTGGCGCTGCTCTCACTCTTGCTGCTCGCCGCCGTGGCCTCGTCATCCTCTTCCTCAACCTCCTCCGCCCTCTCCTCGACCTCCTCGACCTAAGCCTCCTCGTCCTCCTCCTCCTCCTCCTCTTCCTCCTCCTCCTCCTCCTCCTCTTCCTCCTCCTCCTCCTTATTATCCTCACCCTTGTCCTCGGCCTCCTCAACCTCTGCCTGCTGGCACTTGGCCACCGCCGCGTCCCAGACGGCCTCGACGTCTGTCTTACAATCGAGGTTGAACTTGACGTTGGGGAACTTCTCCGTGATCACCTGGCAAATCTCGTCATAGGCCTTGTCCTCGTCCTGCTTCTGCGACGCGGCTTCGCAGATGAGTTTCTCCATGTCCGCCGGGCTCGGCAGAATCAGCTGCGCCTGCGGGCACTTGGCCACCGCCGCGTCCCAGACGGGCTCGACGTCTGTCTTGCATTCGGGGTTGAACTTGATGCTGGGGAGCTTCTCTGTGATCACCTGGCAGATCTCGTCAACGGCTTTGTCCTCGACCTGCTTCTGCGACGCGGCTTCGCAGATGAGTTTCTCCATGTCCGCCGGGCTCGGCTGCGTCAGCTGCGCCTGCGGGCACTTGTCCACCGCCGCGTCCCAGACGGCCTCAACGTCTGTCTTGCAGTCGAGGTTGAACTTGATGTTGGGGAACTTCCTCGCGATCACCTGGCAGATCTCGTCAACGGCTTTGTTCTCGTCCTGCTTCTGCGACGCGACCTCGCATATGAGCTTCTCCATGTCCGCCGGGCTCGGCATCGTCAGCTGCGCCTGCGGGCACTTGGCCACCGCCGCGTCCCAGACGGCCTCGACGTTTGTCTTGCAATCGGGGTTGAACTTGCTACTGGGGAACTTCTCCGTGATCACCTGGCAGATCTCGTCAACGGCCTTGTCCTCGACCTGCTTCTGCGACGTGGCTTTGCAGATGAGCTTCTCCATGTCCGCCGGGCTCGGCAGCGTCAGCTGTGCCTCGGGCGTCGCTGGCGAGGAAATGGCCCAGAAGGTCGTCAGGCACAGGGCCACCGCGAGGATGCTGAACGAGTTGTGGACCATCGCTGGAGGGCGCCGCAGGAGAGGGGGGCGCCGCCAGGGGGGGGC